CTTTGATTTTATTTTTATTATTTTTATTATTTTATTTCATTATTCTAATAGTTTCTTTATGGTTGAAACATAATTCTTCAGATTTTTCTGCTGAAGTAAAATGTTTTACATTGTTATGTGAAGCACTTTGGAAACTGTTTTGTTTATAAAATGTGCTATACAAATAAAGTTGGAAGATTTATTATTTATAATCTCTGTCTTACTAACAGACATGAGTTCATTTCAATAAGAACATGACACAATGATATAATCTATATGTCTTTATTTTTGCAGATAACATATATTGCAATCATGCTTTTTCATAGAACACCATCTAAAGACATTTATTATATTTTTTACATAGAATATTTTACATTAGGCCCAAGAAACAGCTAGAAATATACAAAACAATATGCTCTGACTAGACAGCTCTATTACAGTATTATTATAATCATCCTCTTTATTATTACTCTATGGTTATATTACTCTTCATAGTTGATAGATATGTGCTTTAGTGTCTGACATTGTATTATTGCAGTAAAGAGCAAATAAAATCACTTTTGTTCAAACATTTAGACAAAAGAAAATATAATAAGATGATTTCAGGTGGTACGGACATTCACAAGTACATGTAATACACAGTCCAGTTTTACAACATCATTCAAAGAGAAACTGCAGAATGGTAACTATACAAAAATTCACCCAGCAACCTTGGTCATTGCACACTTTAAATTTCACATAAAAGTCCAGTTTCTTGTCGCAAAGAGCTGCCACAAAATCCTTGTAATTTTGAGCTCTGTCTTGTGGTAACGATAGTAGCTTAATGCATCTTTCTTGATATGTCTTCATAGGTTTATCAGTTCCCTCTATGGGGTAGTTTAGTGGTGTTGGCCCTGCATATACAGTAGTCTGGTGACATTCTACTGGCCTATTGACAATGTTTGGAGATTCTGAGGCCAAGTTGTAGTAAGTATTTGTAAAAAGTGATGCAAAATGTTAGCTTTGTAAAGAGTTTGATAAAGGATTTAGTAAACGTGTGATAAGAATTAGCTTTTTAATGTTTGGTGTGCTTTTTAAAATGTAATAATTGTAGATTTAGTGTATACAGTTTGGTCACTTCCACCTTTGTTCCTGAGACATGGACTACACACATAGACAGTAGAAGAAGACAATGGACCAAAGGACTATTATATATATATATATATATATATATATATATATATATATATATATATATATATATATATATATATATATATATATATATATATATATGAACAATTTGTAAACTACAACTCTCGTAATGATAAAGATACACGACCCAGATCTCAGCTTGAACCAGGGAGCTTCTAGCTAAGGGGTAATGCTCAGTCCATTGAGCCAAAGCCCTTATTTTTCATGGTAAACCTATCAACAAGTTCACTGGTGATGCTACAATGCTTATAGTTCAGTTCGGAGCAAAGAAATCTCCATCTTGAAAGACCCATCCCGCCCATTTTATGAACTGTTCACAGCCCGCAGACCCAATATCAAACTGCGAATGCCTTTGCACCTGAGAAACCTAAATAATGATACTGGTTTTCAATGAGAGTGAATTGTAAACATTGTACCATGGACCTTAGAACGAGCACAAAGTATCGTATGTGGCTAACAGTCATTGTAATTTAGTCGTGGCAGAAATGAAAGCTGCATGTTAGCTGGCGTATCAGACTGAGGATTAGCCCTATCGAGTGATACACAAAACAGTGTTACAAACGTGAGCCTGATCTATTGGTGCTTGGCTGGTTAATGACTTTTCCTGAAAATCTGAATTCGGTGTTTATTTTAGTTCTTAAAAAATGACTCGTAACAGTTACAGCCACATAAGTACAGAACAAAGCTGCCTCCATCGCAAATGACTGAATTCAAAACTGGTGGTGGAAGAAGTACTCTCTTTTGTACGGATATCGGAGCAAAAAATACTCAATTAAAAGCAAAAGTATCAAAAGAAAAGTCAAGAGTAAAAAGTAAAAGCACTTCGCCCATGTTTTGAGGTGTTGTAAGGCTTCAAATTGAATTTTGTTCAACAGAAACAATAGAATAGATTTTTTTTCTCAAATTAAGAACATGTGAAAAATAAAACCCCCAGCTTTTTCAGCAAGTCTGACATAATAATAAAAAATAATAAAAACTGTGGGTGAGGGTCCAATAAAGGAGTGCAGAGTGTTTCAGTACAGTACAGCTTGCTCTGCTAACTGTAAAATACAAATAAAAGTAGAAAATGACAAAGCTGGTCTCGATTTGGTCTCAATGGGCCGTGGTCTCGGTCTCGTCTCAGTCTCGACCTTTAAAAGTCTTGGTCTTGTCTTGGTCTCGATCTTTAAAATCTTGGTCTTTTCTCTGTCTTGACCCTCAGAGGTCTTGGTCTTGTCCTGGTCTCAACTTTTAAAAGTCTTGGACTCGTCTCGGTCTTGACCCTCAGAGGTCTTGGTCTTGTCCTGGTCTCAACCTTTAAAAGTCTTGGACTTGTCTCGGTCTTGACCTTCAGAGGTCTCGGTCATGTCTCAGTCTCGACCTTTAAAAGTCTTGGTCTTGTGTCTGTCTCAACTTTTAAAAGTCTTGGTCTTGTCTCAGTCTTGACCCTCAGAGGTCTTGGTCTTGTCCTAGTCTCAACTTTTAAAAGTCTTGGACTTGTCTCAGTCTTGACCCTCAGAGGTCTTGGTCTTGTCCTGGTCTCAACTTTTAAAAGTCTTGGACTCGTCTCGGTCTTGACCCTCAGAGGTCTTGGTCTTGTCCTGGTCTCAACCTTTAAAAGTCTTGGACTTGTCTCGGTCTTGACCTTCAGAGGTCTCGGTCATGTCTCAGTCTCGACCTTTAAAAGTCTTGGTCTTGTGTCTGTCTCAACCTTTAAAAGTCTTGGTCTTGTCTCGGTCTTGGCCCTCAGAGGTCTAGGTCATGTCTCAGTCTCGACCTTTAAAAGTCTTGGTCTTGTCTCTGTCTCAACCTTTAAAAGTCTTGGTCTTGTCTCGGTCTTGGCCCTCAGAGGTCTTGGTCTTGTCCTGGTCTCGGGACCCTGTGGTCTCGGACTGGTCTTGATCTCGATTAGTGCAGTCTTGACTACAACACTAGATAAATGCTCTCTAATGTAGTAAAGTAAAAGTAAAAAGTATCCACTTCAAAGTCTTCTGATGTAAAGTAGGCTACAGATGCCTACGATTTATACTTAAGTACAGTACTTTACTTCTTCAATTTTCACCACTGTTCATACCACCATATCACAGGCTTAAAGCAAAAATGTAGTTACAATAAGTCAGTCTTGCATTGTACTGCGCTGTAGCATGAAGTAACATGTCAAGCTAACAGTCGGAATAGAGGACATCTTTGCAAGAAAATAAGCTGATACCACATGTAGTACTCACTGATCATGCAGAATTATGTGTAAAACTGTTGACTGAAAAAGATTAAAAAGAAGTATATATATATAGATCTACTGTAAATATCTGTACAAAACCTGCTCCCATGGTCCACTTTTCTTCTACTGTCCATATTTACTAAACAGTTTAATTCCTGACTGTAATGCGGCAGCTTTGTAATACATCCCAGCCATACTAAAACCTCCTTCTATACCTCATGTGTCATATATTATAGCTTTGTAGAGTGTGCTACAATTAACATGCAACCCTGAAACTAACCTAACCTGCTTTAACCCCATGCAGATGTGTTTGATTCTTATAGGCAATAAGCACAGTGCAAAATGTGGGATTTGAAGAGAATCGAAATTGTGCTTGTAAATGAAGGGACCCTGTTGTGAAGAGGGGGGAGTTTGATTGATTTTGTTCATGTTATAATTTTGGTCCTTGACATGCTCACGTACAAAATGAGCTACAAATGGTTCTACAAAAAAGATTCGGACAACGTACAAAGATCTTTAGAAAAACAAAGAAAGAATATAACAGTCTCTCGCTATGTAATAACCAGGTGGGCCTACAGGCGAGTCACAACAACAAAATACAATGATTTTAGATTTAAAAATGGATAACTTCCTTGCTTCTCCATGATTGGATAGAGCTGAAGTTCTTATATGGGAAAGAGGGAGGGTCTTAGTCTGGTACAAAAGTTTGCACAGCCTAGCCTCTGTATATTTAATCACAATGTTTAGTCATTTCTCCTTTTGCATTTGAAAAAGTACAATTTAATTTTCTGTCTAAGGTCAATAAATGCAGGATAGGCTCTTGTGAATGTGAACCCTAACAGAAAAATTACAGAGCACCCCCATTCTCTATTATAGCAAATTTTCAGTAGGTTTTACCCCAGAATTTAGAACGCAGTATTTTTATGATGCAGTATTTTTTATAAGTTTGAAGTAGCTTTGTAATTTGTTGTGGTGACCTCTCCACCATAATGTGTTCTAAATGTCTAAAAGGTATTTTTGCTGCTGTCAAAGGTTTAAAAAGACAAAAACACTCACTGTGCTTCTACTTGTGCTTCTCCAAAGTCGGTAAACATCTCTCTGACTGAATGATACACCTCACACCAGGGCAGATTTGGCCTATACCTTTTTGCACATTCCCATAAAATTTTCTGTATCAAATTTCCCTTTAATTTCTTCATATATTACACTGCATTCATTGTAAAGAGTTTGTCTCATGAACAAGCAAATGCAACCATACAGTTTCTTTGTACAGTAAATATAGTTTAGTAGGTTAATATCCTTAAAGTAGCACAATACTATTGAATGGGCCTCCAACTTTAAATTATAGTTTGAATATACAATAATTTCCTAAGTCACATTTTCATTCCTAAGACTTTTTGCATAATAAAATTGATAATATCACATAACAACTCTGCTGGGTAGTTTAGTTTTTCCTCGTAGCTTTTATAGATCTGTATTTTACAAATACACATTGATACTGTAATCAGGTTGGTCTCACGTGTCCCCAGGAGGTAGGTGAATGAAAGCAGACATGGCAGTCTGGTGGTCGCTCCAACCTGGATCACAGAAGCTGAGCGCGTCGCCGTGGTTTCAGAGGCGGGGGCGGGGCTTAGATGTAGGCCTCTTCAGTGGGCGGGTTCTGGCTCTGGTCCGGCTGCTCCGGGCCGTTCTCCTGAGACTTGACCAGAACCACTGGTTTGATCATCTGCCGCAGACGCTGATGACAAGAAGGGAATAACATAAAAAAAAATACAAGGGCCCGTATTAGGCTATTTTTCTGATCTGTTATATTGTTGTTTCCTCATCACAAACATACCTGCAGTTGTGTTTTGTTTCAGTCCCACATGTTTAACACACAAACTCTGCATATTTGGGCTTAGTTCTTCTGTCAAATAGAAAACACTCCTTGTGATGTTCCACCTTGTGATGTCATGTGGTAATACAAGAAGTGCTCCACTGTATTTTTAAACTCCAAACATATTCACTAGAATTATTTGGATAATTTCAGCTCTGGAATTTCTCATCTCTACTGAACTAAAGTTAGGTGTTAACTTCAAAACGACTGCTGCTCGTTGCGGAATTGAGGGATTGCTCGTGAGGGATTAACATGTGTGAATGAAACAAAATACTACTCCAGGTATGCTTTTGAGAAGGTAACAACATTATAAAATGCCTATATATTATACTTTTGAATGGCGAAATGTGCTCAAAATGGCACCTACAAACAACAATCTAAAACCCATAAATAGTTTGGAACAGTAGAGGTTATATTGTAACCCAGGTTCTTGTAGTACAGATATCGGATTTATTGCTAAGCCAGAACAGAGAAGAAACTCCAACCTTATTTCAGTCATTATGTAACTTCCATTTCTGTATATTACATAAATGTATAGTTATATTCACATTCAATTTGAACTTCAGGAGAGGAAAGAATCTCTGAAGAAATCCTTTAGGACATATTCTGGATCACAAAATAAAAAATAAATAAATAAATGGTTCAATAAGGATGCAACATAAAGAGACAGGTAAAGCATCATCCTTTGCTGCCTTGTATTGTAAATGGAACTAGTGTAACCCACAGCCTACAGTGTTCATAAAAGTGTCCAAGTATGAACATTGAATTGAAGCATTGCTTTTCTACAAATATGATTGCAACACTGCTTTGTAGCAGACAGAATATAGTACCATTAAACTTGAATAAAGCTTTCATAATAAACAATAGCTGCTGATTTACAAACGTCCTCTGAAGCAGCCTCTGAGGTGATGATGTGCAGATGTGGTCCAAAACAAGTGAATGGGAGCCAGTATCTCAGTGTCACAGCTGAAAGTGTGTTGTCAAATGGTAAAGCTATAGGCGTAAACACCAGCTGCACACAGTGAAGACGAATGGTGCGCCCGGGGCCTCCTCTCCTCTGACACACGACACTTGTATCTTTTGTACTGTGTGATTTATGCTTTGATGAGTCTCCAGAGTCTGATGTATGACTCAAATATGAAATGACAGCTGCTAAAGATGATACTGGAAATCAGTGCTACATGAACTCTCCTCGCACCAACACTTCTCCTCACCAACCTGTCTGTGTGAATACACTTTTAAAACAGGATACACTACACAGCTGCCACCTTAAATGTGGTCCTTTAATAATACGAATAAAGGCTTACACTTGTAATGTGCTTTACAGGCTCGAGAAAGCCTTTCAAAGCCTCTCACTGTAGTCATTATTCATCCATTCCACACTTGGTAGTGGTAATCTATTATTGCAACCACAGCTGCCCTGGGCTAAACTGAAGGAAGTGAGGCTGCCAAACTGCACCACTGTGCAAGCAGGTAATGGCACCTGGCAAAGATACAGATCAGATCTGTAGAGAGGGGAGTCTGCTCATTGAAAGAGTCTTTGAAATAGACTGATTTACACTGTAGAACATTCCAGGTTAAACTCTGAGACAAGCAGGTTATGGACCACTATCCACCATCAAGGGTTTCTGCTTCCACTGGAAAGATGTAAACACCAAACACCAGTGGAGTTTCATATGAGTAAATGATCTCTCCATACAAGCCAGAAGAATGTTTTTTTAAGCAAATGCACACATCTTTGGTACTGGTGACAATGTTGACAAGTTCTGTAGACCAGCAGCCAATCAAAACACCCCTATTGCAGAATAGAACAGGTTAGGCTATTACCAAGTCTTATTAATACTTGGTATATATACACATATAATCTTCAATGTCATTATGCACTATATATTTGTCTGAAATCATTATTCCTATTAATACATTATTAGGTAGCTAAACAACAACAACAAAGTATATTATTGCAATTGCTCCTACCAGTACAATTAGATTTAGTTCAGTTATGTCACAGTGCACATTTAAGCACATCTGAAAGACAAATGAACTATGAGCTGCTAAACTACTGCAAGAATCTCATGCATTTCAGAACATACTGGTAGAAGTCAGAACTATATGTTGAACACACATTATTTGCATCAAGGATCAAGATTAGCCAATTGCAACTGTACAGATTGTTTGCCAGTACGGTTCTTTATTTTGATACTGCCATACTGAGACTGTATTATAGTTACATTATCCATTGGTAGTTAAAATCTGCTTTAAATATAGTTCTGTTATTTGCAGAATTAACTGTAGTCTGATTTTCCGTTTAGTTTAGTCAGTTGAGTTTAGTTGGTGACATCTTACAGTCCTGCTACATTGATAAGAATGACCCAGCACACTGAGACTCCATTATAGATTATGCACTATACATAGGAGGTGGACTGTGGCTGTATGGTGCTGGGGGTTTAAATCTGTCACGGCCTAATCAGACTCTGATTGCTACAATTAGACGATCAGTGGAGAGCGCCACAGCAGGAACTGACACCTGCACATCGGGCCCACAGCTCTATGCTCCGGCTGTAATTATGGCCCATTTACTCTGCCTCTGCCTCCACTGCTATATCTGTCATATGGGAGCGTATGCCAGATGCTTATAACATAAAATCAAGCAGCTCTTAATGTTAAAAGCACAATGGAGATGTTATGAAGGGTTATTGCTGAAATATTCTCTGTGCAAGATATAGGGGGACAATTTTCTAATGCAAGGATTCAAGAACTAAGGCAGCAAATGAATAAGATATACATGTTGATTTAAAATGAATGTATTATGCATTGCTATTTCACGATTAAAGGTGCAATCTGTAACTTTCTGGGTGGAGGGTCTGCCACCATGGTGATGTTGTTACTTTGCCTGGAATATTTTCACAGTATGATATTAAAAGATGGCCCCCCCTTACAGTAGAATGCATATCATTCAAGGTATTGTTTAAAAAAACTGTGGTACTCCAGGCCTATAAGTACTCCAAGAGCATATCCCCATGGACTCTTATCAGAAAAGTTACATAGTGCTCCTTTAACTTATAAAAATGTATAGAAATTGTCTAGTTAGCCTTGACTGCATACACAGTTCCATGATGTTGTTTAAATTAGGCTAAAAACAATAACTGCAGGCATGTCTAACAGTTTACAAGAGGTCTTTTGAAGCACCACAACCACAATGGGAAATGAAAAGTCATCAGATCACCTACACATGCCTTTCATGCTTGAACAGTCAGTAAGAATATAGGAACTGCATTTGTAGGCACAGGAATTTAACACACAACCTTGCTCTTTAGATAAATGGAGACAATTCTGCAAACTATGAAGAGCTAGCCTGGATACATTTTCGATCTATCCACATTTTCAGTAGCAGCATACTGCAAGTTTGCAAGCCTAGAAAACCAACAAAAATATGTGTTTTTTAAATATGAAAATCTGATGATATCATACTCTCACATTTTACCCTGTTGATAACATGGTATTTTCTTATGTAAGTAAATTCACAACCATTTAACCGTTTAACCATATGATGTGTCTGTCTGTTAGCAAAGATGGGACCAAGTCGTTGTTTTGCAAGACTCAAGTAAATCTCAAGTATTTGACCTCAAGTCCGACTCAAACCCCAGACAAATACAGGCAAGTCCAAATTGAGTCTCGAGTCACTGGCCCATGCGTCCAAGTCAAGTCCAAGCTGTCTGCTTTGAGCTTCAACTCATTTCAAGTCTTTAAACCAAAGTACCAAATATATCTTAGAATCTTTACAATGTAGATGAATTTTAAACTAAACTGTACTTAAAAAGTCATAGTATATTTACATGTGAGTATTTATATAAGAGTTGTAGAAATGTAAATTTTTCCTTTTTAAATGTCTTGTCAAGATATTTGTGTGAATCATTATGGAAAGAATTCAGCTTTTCAGTGCAAATTATTATTATTTTGTCATGTGTCTGAAATGGAAGGATCATGTTCTAGTTAGTTCCCTCTGTTTTACTGTATTGTACTGTATATTACTGTAGTACATTTGATGATACCATATCACAGTACTTCAGTTACAACCAATGTAACAAATAGAGAAATGGGAGGGACATGTTCCAGTTTGTTCCTGTAAAATTAAGCACCATATGTATGAATTGAAAAGAGAAAAGTATTTTCTAAAAACAGATATTTTTTGAGGAGAAGCATCAAGTCTTCTCAAGTCACAAGCCTCAAGTTCAAGTCCCAAGTCTTAGTCCATTTTATCAAGCCAATTCTAAACTCTCTCACTAGACCCTAGAACTTACTACAACAATATTCATTTCATCTGCCCCCCATCTGTAATGAATATTTTTGGCATACACAATGTTTTGATATCCAGCAATGTGAGGAGTGAGCAGTGATGTGTGCAAAAAGCATAACTCTAAATTACATCATCATTATGAAGAAGAAAAAAACATACCAAGTGGATTAATATAATACGTCTCACCTCTTTGTACGTGCCCTTGAGGTTGAGGAACATGTAGCCCATGTATCCAGGGATGAGAATCATGGAGGACATCGCCATCAACCAGCCCACTCCCTGCCCCCAGGCTGGGAACACATAGTCCCCCATGGTGAGAGGAACCATCTGAACCGCACTGAACAGGAACACGCCCTTCACAAAAACACACACTCCATTAGAACATGTAAACGTATTGGTATCATTATTGTGTCATTCAGAAATATGAGATAATGTGATATTATTTTCCTTATTGTTTTCTTCTTCGATATTAGGAGTAGGAATTGATTTACAGACAAAATAGTGGAATAAAAACACCAGGATCATGCAGAGCGAGTTAATAGGAACATTCTAAGAACGAAATGTGGAGCCGGATAGCAGCAGTTACAGAGAGAGCGGTGACAGTTTTTCAATACAAAGTGAATTGGAGCCAGCGTCAATGGAGCCAGAAGCGCGCCTAGGCTTACTTCTTATTTAGAATGCAGCAGCTAGAAGGTTAGATTTATCCATTTATATATATAGCCTATGTTCACCACTCATCCAAGTAGCTTCTTCTGAAGTCACTGCCTTATATCTGGCTGAATGGAGGAGCTCAAAACAATGAAACAAACACACCAAGTAAGGAGTGTCCGTTATTAGTTAATAGTGTCGTAGTAATCGAGACTGGTCTTGGTCTCGAGACGGGCCTCGAGACCGCTGTTTTACGGTCTTGGTCTAGTCTCGGATTCGAGCACATTTGGACTCAGCCTTGTCTCAGTCTCAAAGGTGCTTGGTCTCAGTCTTGTCTTGGACTCAAGGTCTGACCCTCGACGAGTGTGATCATATTTCATTATGGCGACTAAATGTGGCTGCTCAGTATCACTGCAAAATCAGTAAGATAATGTAATTGTAAATGTCATGAAATTGAAAAACCCCACTTGATTCACGTTGAAGTTGTTTTCTGTAAGGTGCCTGTGGAAGTGGAATTAAAGAAGAGGTTCTCAAGTGTTTAAGTGTTTACAGTTTGCTTGGCTTATTTAAAGCTTGTCTCAGTTTCAACCTTTAAAAGTCTTGGTCTTGTCTTGGACTCGGGACCCTGTGATCTCGGACTGGTCTTGATCTCATTTAGTGCGGTCCTGGCTATAACACTATTGGTTAGGTCCATTGAACTATCCTAAGGTGTGAACGGTCACTTGAGTGTGGACCATACATTTGCCGTCAATCATAAAGATGAAGAATAGTCGCCGTGGGACTTACAGCCACAATGAGCGGAGTGAAGACGCACCAGCAGGCCTTCCACCACAGACAGGGCCGGTACCCAATCATCTCTTCAATGTTGTCATAAAACTTGTTCACGCCTGCAAACACAAAGCAGTATAAGCTCAAAATGCTTAAAACAACAGAGATAGATAAAACAGTTTAAAAGTATTCAGGATTGAGGTAAAACTCACCATAAAACCATGAGATTGAAATGCACTCAAAGAAGACTAAGAACAGCAGAGACATCCCACTGGCCGAGTAGTAATCGAACAGTTTGAAAACGTACAGTCCTCCCTGCACACATCACACACAAGAAAATATACAGAATATACAACTGCAGGCAAATTCAAATGACAGAATTACATTAGAACTAATGCATTAGACAGAATTACTACTTCCACCTACCACAATTTTGTTTCTAAAGTGATTACCTCTCATATTCCCTTTCATACTGCTCTTATATGTGCACACAACTCGCTTCTGCCATCAACAGGAAGTGTTTTTTAAACTCCATATACCTTCCGTAAAATTATTTGGATGATTTCAGATCTGGAATTACCAATCTCTACTAAACAAAAGGTAAAATTTGAGAACTTGAGGATTTGAGAACTACCGCTTCATGACCTCAAAAGGTGGAAGAGAGCATTTTGAGCCTTGGAGATGTAGACAGACTAATAATAAAGGATTACAGTTACATATAAGAGTATTATAACACAAAACTTAATTCTCACAAGTTAATTTTGAGCTATATAGGACCTTTAAGTCTCTATGCTTGAATTTAGATCCTGTTATCTGTTGGCTAACTTGGCTACTGTATACATCTCATCTCCTAGACTTACAATAATGAGCTCCTGTTATGATATGGATGAGTTGAAAGGCAGCATGGCGAGTGCATCTTCTGTGATCTCTTCCTATGGCCTGCAGCAGGGATTAGATTAGCTGCGTCGCCGTGCCAGGACAAATATGACCTTGGCCTATATGCTTATGTAAGTGCTGGCTCATGGACAGCTACTGTAGGTTTAGATTCATAGGTTTCAATTATATGCAACATTATAACTAACCATAATTGAACTTTTACTCATTAAAAAGATATTATATTTTGTTAATATAATTGTTCATCGCTATGGCAAAAGTAAAAATGTTTCATGATTCTGAAACCCATGGAAACATTAGACTTAAATGGTGGTGGTTAAACTAAATGAAATATAGATGTATTTTCAGTGCAACCAATAGACTGTATAAAGAAGTGGACTGAGTGATCACCCTTGGCATTAGGCACCAGTCAGACAAAGCTCATGAAGGCCAAGTGTTTTAGTGGCAGATGGTTATCAAGGGGTAGTATGTTCGTTTTAGGGGGAGCATCTGAAACCGTCTTTTCTCCACAAAATGACATAATTTTTCTATAGGCTGGCTACTGCAACATGCCAAGCAAAGAAATAATATTTTACTGAGACTAACAGGTAACAAACCCTCCACCATAAAAGTTACATAGCACATCTTTAAGAGAACTAGAACATTATTAAAAACATTATAGCATTCAAGTAAAAAAAAAAGAAAAAGAAAAAAAAGACCAGATTAAATAATGTGATTTGCAGTACTGCTAGTAGCTATACAGACCTCTGCCAAGGCCCTATCCCACAATGGTTGCTTACAACCCAGTGCCCACACCTCTACAATCATTTGTTTAGATGTTTAGATGACATTTTCAGAATTTACTGAACAAAAGCTACCTAAACAAATTCAAAAACATATAAACATATTTAAAATAAATTGAGATAAGGAAAATTGTACCTGGACAATATTTGACATTGGACATAAATTGCCTAAAAATAACAGTGCACTACAGATTAATGACATGCTTATCTTTTAATATGTGCCTGCTTTAAATATGTGCCTATCTAAGAATCTGTGATCCAATATTAGCACACTGAATTATGGCCTAATAACATAATGATCTTAGTAAGACTCCAGTAAAGACCTACTTTTCAGCAGGTTTCTATCACAGATTAAGTGAAACTGTGTCGATCAAAATGAGAAGGAGAGGAGATAATGATTCTACTGTAACACTGGCCTGAATGACATAACAGCTCAAAAAAAAGGCCCTTCGTATAGTTACGTAAGACCAATGATCCAAGGTAGTGATGTATTTTGTACAACTACACTCAAGTAAGAGTAGAGTAACTGTCTGGGCATTATGTCTGATTTATAATGTTCCACAGTATGGCATGAAATGTATCTCCATGAAGACAAGCAGTTGCTCAGTTACTGATCAGGTCTGCAGTGAGGGGACCATGTTCACAGTGAAAATGGATGATTGTCAATGTGTTTCTCCTTAAATTTAATAAATGCAAAATGTAGACAACCCACTATCCGAAACGTTGCATCAAACACCTTTAAAGCATAAAACATCAAAAGATTCTAGCATTTCCAAAGAACAGAAAACAAATCATTTAAATCATTTAAAATTGTCAACATAGATCTTTAGTCACTACACGTACACATAGTGGAAAGAGTAAACTTTTACTCAATATTACTCAAGTAGGAGAAAATGAAGAGTGTCTGAAAATGGCTAACCTTGCGAAATTCCTAATTTGACTTTTTTATACTTTATTTATTTTATTTATTATATTTGTGAGGTAAATGTGATGGAGTACAACACACCTCTATAATTCAATCTTCTAGACATTACTTTTACCAATAACATCTCTCCTCTAACCAGGAATACTATTTTTAATACTACCGTAATTGTCACCTAGGAATTTATGTCAGTCAATCACAGCTTGCCGTCTTTGCCGCTCAGTCAATCATCTCTCAAGCCATTAATATTCTGTGAATGCACTCTCTCTACCCTCTTTACAGCTCCTACTATGCGATGCGATCCAGTCACACCCAGCGTAAACCAATATCTATCCATCCTTTTCAGTCCACAGTATGATTAGTAAATAGTGAAAGAGTTTAGTGTCAGTAGTGTGTACCTGTGTGATGTTGGACAGTCCGATGATGTAGGACACGAGGCAGACCACAGCGATGAAGATCTCTCTGCGTTTTCTGAGCACTCGAGGAAACTCATCCACCAGAGCAGTGATGAAGCCCTCCACTGTACAGAACTAAATGAGAACAGCACAGTTATATGGGGCATTATGAACCCGTGTATCTGATTCAGGTCTTAGAAATGTAAATACTGTATGTGTCATGTGGGATTAAGTACAAATGAATGTTGAAAATAAAATAGACCCTGTTTGAAATTGCATGTGGAGCAAGTTGCATCTATTTAAGTCTAAAATACAGCAACAGCAGCTCAACAGTTACCACCCGAACTCCGGTACTGGAGCTAAATTGGCCAATGATTTTTCCCGTAGACATTCTGAAAAAAAATTATAATTAAAGTTTGAAAGTTAATCAGCTACTTTTTTGAGCTTAAAGGGATAATCCAGAATTTTGGACATAAGACCTCATTTCCTAGTTAGCCAGAGTGTTGGAGACGTGTGGAGACACTTTTTAAAATATTTCTTCCAGTCTTTGCAGAGGTCGCTGGTGCTAGGCTAGCGCATGTCAACAGCCATAGCTAGCCTGCCACTAAAAACAGTCTTACTCACTCCACAGTGCACCCGAGGCAAAACAGTTATTACGTCAGACTGTCAATGTGAATGTCTGTGTCGATAGAATAATTTTAGAAGTAAAACCAACCTTGCATTGGAAGAATTTATGTCTGAGCAGCAGAAGCGAGTTGTACTTCCTGATAGAAAGCTTGGCAGAGGCGGACTGATATCAACAAGCACCTATCTTACAGGCAAAGTAAAATTCCGCTGCTGTTGAGAAAATACTTCCTCAACATAAAACAATTCATTAGCCAGGCTGGCATAACCTAGTGCCTCCGCTCAATTTCATTTCTCTCCAGCAACTAGGTCAGGAATCTGAATACAATAGACAGTTTGCAAAAACCCGGGAAGTGTAAGTTCAATCACCAGCCAACCAGCGAAGAACCATATATTTAGTGTTGTCAACGATTTCGGAGGATTCTCGAGGATTTAAAGTCGGAATAAAGAGAATGTTTGGTGAATTTTATCAGGGGGAAAGACGTTATTGCCCTTCTTCCTACTGGATTTGGGAAAGCTTAATATACCAGTGAGCCCCGTTAGTGGCGCATTACATCACGACCAAATAGCAGCGATTGGTTAAATGATAAAAAAGTACCCACCTACCGTCAAGTGAACAAATTCTAACGTTGCAAGGTCAGACGGTTTCTACAAAGTGAAACCGGCTGATGAATCAGGCTAACGATTCATGCCACGCAAGGTTAATTTTATTTCAAACATTATCCTATCAACACAGGCATTCACATTGACCGTCTGGCGTAATAATAGATTTGCTTCGGGTGTTTTGTGGAGTGGGTAAGACTGTTTTTAGTGGCAGGCTAACTATGGCCGTTGACATGCACTAGCCTAGCACCAGTGACCTCTGCAAATACCTAGTACTGCAAATACTAAGGACTGAATGGAATATTTTAAAAAGTGTCTCCACACATCTCCAACACTCTGGCTCACTAGGAAATGAGGCCCTATGTCCAAAATTCCAAACTGTCCCTTTAAAACAATCGTGTTATGGATATTTGTTAGCATGTAGCTGATTAGCCTTGCCCTTGAACATTTCATATTTGAATTTTTTGAAAAGTCTATGGGAAAAATTTATGGATAATTTACTTCCAGAGCAACATTAAACTGAAACAACTATACAAATATATAAGATAAAAGAAGATAACACAAGATAAGAGAACTATTATTTGTCCCACAATGGGGAAATGCCAGTGTTGCAATGCAAAGTGTAAGAACAGCAGGAGAATACAAAAAAAAAATATATATATATATAAATAACTATTAAAATATATTGGAAGCAAACCATGTAACTAATATTAGGGTAGTTAGGATAAAAAAGGTGTACCATACAGAATACGCAATTGGACATAACATTGTATTACAAATAAATAACTTTGTCGTCTGGTTGCATGTAAAGACTAGACACTGTAATTTGTGAAAGAAATTGAAAGTAAATGCCCCAAGCCCAAAATGAAGGGGCCTGGATCTGAAACCTGTCAATCACTGAATTGAGAGGATAATTGAAGCTTCTGGAACATGGTCAAAAAATCAGCGTTTACCCCCAAGGCCCAAATAGTTATTACCTGACTGTCAATCCCCAACATGAGCAGCATAGAGAAGAAGAGGATGGCCCACAGAGGGGAGATGGGCAGCTGGGTGACGGCCTCGGGGTACGCCAAAAACGCCAAGCCAGGACCTATGCGAGGGACAAGTGAGAATATTCAACCATTTAGAGACAATGGGAGATTTGAAAGGAACACTGTATAACTTTTCTGGTGGAGGGTCCGGCACCTGCTTGTTTCTATGGATATGTCATTGCTTTAACTATTCTATCTTCTAATTATAGGTGGTTTTATAACTCAAATTTACCTAGAAAAAAAGACATTCTGACTGTGAGTGGGGTTGCCTCTCCACAGATCTAAACTGTAACTTGGTCTGGTTTGGTCTCCATGAAGATAGAAAGGCTTAACTCTTCCAGATCTAAGGGCAGTTTTACTACATTTGTCCTTGCCTGGATTTTTTCCATTAATTTTGTCATTAAAATTCCGCCTTTTACCCCCTAATGAAGTGTTATACATTATTTTGTTCAGTAGAACCTGTTAGTTCACAATCTGCATGCTGTAGTTGTGTCATATGGCTGTAATAAAAGCTATAGGACCAGAAATACAAATGAAAAAATAAAAATAAAAATTCACACTCTTACATACAAAACACACAGCAAACATGCATAAAAAAACTTTTTGGACATAAAAAAAAATGTCCTTAGCCACAAAAGTGCAAAATAGTCTACAAAGTCTATAAGTCTATATATAGTCAAGTCTATAAGTAAACAAAAAATATTCTTATTGCCCTAAAACAAACAAAAAAAGTGCAATGGCCCCATGACTTTCCTGGTCAGGGAAACAGCTGGTGTCAGATCCAGGGCACAGAGCCACATCACTTCCTGCCTTTCCATAGTGTTTATTACATTTGTATTTGCACATTTTGACTGAAATAAACCTTTCAAATAAAAATAGCAAGCGATATACAATTACACAGACCAAGATGTGTAATTTACCATTTATTTGAGAAATAACTGCACTTAGAGCGGCTTTTTCAATTGTTATGAACACAGATGCTCAGAGGAGTCGACCATTTTGACTCACTACACTCTTTGGCAAAGTTTGGGCCAATCAAAACGGATGGGCGTCTGGCGGAAAGCAAAGTTTCTATTGGACGTTTTTCCAGTGTCATCACACAGCATGTGTGTGACGTACGCTAATAACAGAAATATGCTCTGAAACCGAAACTGTCAGCTTTTCAAGGAAAGTAAATTTCTGTCTTTTATGGTTGGAAAGTTATGCACAGTTATGTAATACACGTTGGTCTGGAAGGGTTAAACTGTTCAATTAGGTTGTTTTATAGCTCAGAAATACCTAGTTTTACACCAACCAAGAAGCAATTTGTGAAGAAAAGTTGAAAAATATGTTGAAAATTACATGAAGTAGAGAGCTCTGTTTTAGAGAGTTCCATATGGATCACACCAATACTGTAATTAAGTTTTTTTTCATTATTGTCTGAGACCTGCTGAAAAGATTTTTTACATTTATAGTTTGAGGAAACAAGAATATACAAAAAAAAAAATTCCGTTGAAGAATATTTAGCACAAATCTTCGTCAACATTGTTACATTTGACGCTTAAAATCTGCACAGATACTTTTATTTTTTACTCTTTAATTACTCTTTAAGTACATTAATACTTTTACTTAAATATATTTTTTCTGTGAATATTTTTACTTTTACTTGAGTGCTTTTTTGCTCCAGTATCTGTACTTTTACTTAAGTAACAAAATGTAGTACTTCTTCCACCACTGTACAAACCAAAAAGCTTCAACCTTAATCATCGCCCCATCAATAACTCTTAATACCTCACTATTCTTTGCATCCATCCAAACGCATCTTACATGTAACGATCCCGCTCCCTTACTTCCTTACTTCCTCGCGACTGTATCGAGCTGCACATTGATTGCAATTACCTGAGGCGGCCACGTCTGCAATGTCTTTCTTGGTCACGTGGGACATGAAGCCCACAATGGAGAAGATGACAAAGCCCGCGAACATGCTGGTGAAGGAGTTGATGCAGCACACAATCACAGAGTCTCTGTAGGGGACACAAGCCACCATTGTTACCACGGTATCGGTGTCTTATCAGTCACTCACACATTGGTGAAGGGCAGGGGGAGGGGGGAGGGATGGAAGGAGTGAGGGAGAGGGTGATGGACGCCATTTTGGATCTAACGGAAGAGTCTGAATGCATTAAGACTACAATGTGGTTATTTCCGGTGTTTTTGAAGTAACTGAATACATATACCCAGAATATATCTTATTAAGGGTCCATTTACTCTGTTTTCTCTAGTTATAATGTTGTTTTCTCATCACAAACATACCTAGAGTTGTGTTTTGTTTCATTCACACATGTTTCATACACAAATCCTGCATATTTGAGATGGGTTCTTCTCTAAAACTGAAAAGACCATCTCCCACCTTATGATGTCAGTGCTTGTGGTGGGTACCTCTACCACCACTCCACAGTGATAGTATCATTTCATTTACATCATTTAATTTAATTCCTTTATTTAGACTTATATTCTAATTCGGGTGCACAACTTTTAGTTAAAATAAATCTGAATTATTTACTTACACTTGTTCGTTTTTTTTTTTTGTTTGAGTGGCCAGACGGAGGTAGCCAGGCTGGCACCACCTAGTGCCTCTGTTCAATTTCATTTCTCTCCAGCGACTAGGTCAGGAATCAAAATACACTAGACGGTTCACAAAAAGTGGAAGTTTGGTCAACAGCCAATCAACAAAAAGCCGTATATTCAGTGTTGTCAACGATCCCTGAGATCGAGGATTTAAAACCGGAATAAAGAGAATGTTTGGTGAATTTCATCAAGGGGGAAGATGTTATTGCCCTTCTTCCTACAGGATTTGGGAAAAGCTTAATATACCAGTTAGGCCCATTAGCGGCACATTACATACGTCATGACCAAATAGCAGCGATTGGTTAAATAAAAAAAGTACCCGCCTACCGTCGAGCGAACAAATTCTAACGCTGCGAGGTCAGGCGGTTTCTACGAAGTGAAACCGGCTGAAGAATCAGGCTAAGATGGAGGACCCTTGGCATAGACTATCCATGCTGAACAAACAGGGGAATCATTATTGAGTTAGTTTTTAGGGATGTAATGATATCCACATCTCACAGTTTGATATTTATTGTGATATTTTGAAGAGACTGATATAATTGTAGATGGGACACATTTTTGCTTTTAAAATACATTGACAGGATTTTGGTGTGAATTATTATCGTCATAATCCCAAGAACTCAAGTAGAAACATATCTCTTCATGCTCTCTGCTCTGAAATGAATCATGGGATATGTAGTTCCAAATGTTTATAAGCTGTTGCTACTATAAAACCATGCATTTAAGCAAAGGAACTTGTAATTCAATATATTGTAACATTCCACGATATTATTGTGAGACTTTTGATGATACAATATCTTCATATTTCAGTTATTGTTACATCCGTATTAGTTTTACTAAGTTAGTTTGTTTAAGGTCACTTTATTATCACTTATTATTTTCTGTATTATACTTATTAGCCTTCTTATTACTTTGATTAAGTTAGTAGTTTTAGTTAATGATTTTGTGTAATTCTTCCTTCTTGTGTTCAGTTTTAGTTGGGTCTCATTTAAGCACTCCTGTTTTTTGTCTGGTTGGGTTAGTTTTGTTCTGTTCAGTTTGATTTAAGTTTATGATTTACCTAATCTGAGCCTTTGTTATTAAATTTAAACTTATTTTTATACCTTGTCTTTGCCTTTCTGTCTGGCCCACTACACACCTTCACTACAATCATTTGGATAATTTCAGCCCTGGAATTGCCTATTTCTACTCAACTAAAGATAGGTATTACCTTGAAAACTACCGCTTCATGACATCACAAGGTGGAACAGAGCATTCTGAGTTTTGGAGATGTAGACAGACTAATAATAAAGTAATAATAATACTCAAACATGCATGGATGAAACAAAACACAATTCCAGGTATGTTTCTGAAGAAGTAACAACATTATAACATGACTTAAAGCTCACAAGAATCAATTTTGTGTAATATAGGACCTCTAATACTAATTCTGAGTAACTGCATTATGCTGCAATTACTTTTTTCATTTCTTGTTATTCATGGCAGTACTGGATCACACAATTTAGGTTTCAAACTGCACAGTATTAGTGGTAAAAATGGAAAACTCTGCTCTTGTGGTGTGTGCAAGTGTGATTTTTCTGATCTGTAATTCTGTTATGTTTTTACACTATAATTTAAATGCAACCCTGCTTGAAAGTTTTCTAAGTGTTCAGAATACAGTTCTCTGATTGGGCCATGTGTGGAATTATGTTACAAAATACATTTGAATGCAGTTGTTCAGTTCTAAATACACTTTCAAAAATATTTTTTCCGTCCCTGGTTATCTTTACGTCTTTACAATTTGGATGCCAAGGTTCAGATGACAACATTCTATAGATGAGGGACAAGTAAAATTGTTGTTATTTAATATATTGGTTTTGTAGTGTTGAATAGTTAAAGGGCCCATTACTTTTCTGATTTATGTTATAGTGTTATATCATCACAAACATACCTGGGGTTGTGTTTAGTTTCATTCACACATGTTTAACACACACATCCTATATATTTAGGCTGAGTTTTTTTCTCAAACAGAAAACTGCCCTGGAATCTGTACTGAACAAAAGGGAAAAGGCAGACGTTAACTTGCAAACTACCACTGCAACTTTGGAGATGTAGGTGGATCAGTAATGCAGGACTACTCAAACATGTATGTATGAAACAAAACACAACACCAAGTATGTTTCTGAGGAGATAACAGCATTGCAACATGGCTTAAAGCTCACAAGAGTCAGCTCACAAGAGACAGTTTGGTCACTGAAATGTAAGATCATCACCACATAATTCACCACATAATACAATCAACAACCAGACTTAAAATTAATAACTTAAAAGTGGGAACAGACAGGGCATGTGTAGTAAATTCTGTGTGTCTAGCGTGGCAGAAATAGAAAACAGAATTTAAATAATGGCTTGACAAAGAAGATGATTCATTTCTTTGTTCATTTAGTAACCTATTACAGACTAGACATGATGTTGGCAGGATTCCAAAACTGTAATCAGTGAAGAAGACATTTGCATAATATTGTACGCGATGTATAGTGTGATGTAAATACTGCACATATGTTTGTCGTGCTGCATTTAGGTATTATGAATTACATTTACATATGAAAATGTAAACGTTTTAGCAGATAATATGCTACCATTTTAGTCTTTGAGTCCTGGAGTTGTGTTTTGTTTCATTCACACATCACACAATAATCCTGGTTTATTAGTCTGTGTATATCTCAAGCTCAAAATACTCCACTTTGTGATGTCATCAAGAGGTAGTCTGCAAATTAACAGCTACGTTTGACCTATTGTTTAGTAGAGATGGGCAATTCCAGGGCTAAAATCAAAGCAAACAGTCATCCAAATGATTCCAGTGAAGCTGTGTTTTCTGTTGAGAAAACAACATAATAACATCAGATCAGAAAATAATCAGAGTAATACGGGCCATAATACATGTGTTTTTAGTAGCGATGCTCTAGTTGTCAACATCAGGATTAAAAAGGGGTCTGCTACTAAATCACGGTGGAATATTGCATCTAAAATTAGAATAACATTTTTAGACATAGATTAGTTCTGGGTGGTAAAGCAAATTATCCAAATGTATGACCAAAAATCCGTGCTTGAGGCGTCATTTGTGATGTCAAAATAGAAAATCTTAGTCAGAAAGGTCAGTTTGTTATTGCAGGGGAGGATTTTGGAGAGGAAAAGGAAAAGCGCATTTGGGCACGAGCTTTAAATGTCATCATATTTCTGATTGCTCACCTGTAGACGTTGTTATTGAAGGGATTATAGCTGCCAAGAGCAATCAGGGAGCCTAATCCCAGACCGTATGAGAAGAAAATCTGAGTGGCAGCATCCAGCCACACCTGCCGGATTAGAAACAAAGTTTAGTCTAATACAGGAAGCATGTCATTAGCTTGTTACCTGCATGTGTTGGCCAAAATATATCATATCACATTATAATAAATACACCTTATTAGCCTTAAAACATAAAGAAATACTGATAATCAACAAATAGTTTATTGAAGGGACTGTTTTCCGCCATGTAATTCAGTAACAGAGGCTCAGTGGTTAGAGCAGTGGTCTCAGAGGACCAGTTCCTGCTTCAACCAAGTTCTGTTGTTGTGTCCTTGGGCAAGGCACTTCACCCACCTTGCCTAGTATGAAAGTGTGTGTGTGAATCATGGTGTTGGTCAGAGGGTCCAATGGCACAGATTGATAGCCTTGCTTTTGTCAATATGTCCCAGGGCAGCTGTGACTATAGCCATGTCTTAAATGAATAAGTGGAGTGTAGCGTTTTGAGCAGCTTTATTAAGCCTGTAAAGCACATTACAAAAGCAAGGCTTTGTTATTCATTATTACAGTGAAAGGGTGAAAATTAAACCCTGGTTATAGAGCAATTTATTGTCTGTGAAACAGGAAGTGTGCCTTTAGCATGCTAATGATTACCATGATGGTGCTCTGGCCTCTGAAAGTTGTGAAAAGTGCTTATAAACTCATGACTGTATTTAATTAGGATACTCTGGGTGCATAAACTAAGCGTGGAATAACTTTGGACTTCTGCAAACTGTCTCAAATGAACTAGTTCTGATTTTCATTTTACTCAAGAAAGTAAAAATCAGGTAGAGCACCTTTAAGAATGAGTCGGGTTTTGTAACAAGATAATTATTACCCTAACTTCTGTCCCCTTACTTACTTAATTTACTCAGCTAATAAGCCTGAATGAATAAAGTATAACTTAACTTACTCAGATACTAAGCCTGAATGAGTAAAGTATGAATAAACTAATAGTTCATTATGAATGAAGTCTTTCTTTATGCACTGAAAGGCTAACAAAGTGTCACCAAAAACACCATCTTACCTCTGACTCCTTCAGTTTACTAAACTCGGGAGTGATGTAGAATTTGATTCCATCTATGGCTCCTGGGAGGGTGATACCACGAAAGAACAGGATCGCCAGCATGAAGTAAGGGTAGGTGGCTGAGAAGTACACAACCTGCAAACACAAACAACATGACATAATGAGAAGAAATGATGCAATTTTCCTCAAAGGCATAACAAATAGACAAAGTGTAGCTTCATGCTTGAGTAGCGCTGTTGTAGTGACCTAGTCCTCTGCTCCCTCCAGGCACGTTGACCCCACTATGCTCGGGTTCAGCTCACTCCCCTGCACGGTTCTCGCCTTATCACCGCTCATTCTGCACATTTGCTATCAAAGTCAGCGAGAATCAGATCACAGCAGATAACACAGCCTCGTAATGATTCGGCAGAGGTACAGATTGTGCACTGGACGTCAATGGCACAGTCAAATATTCCCTATTTAAGAGATAGCATCAGCACAGAGGCTATATGCACGAGCCTCCAGAGATTGCATTGCGTTTTGCGTTGAATGTGCACAATGATTGCTAAAATTTGTTCAGAGTAAAGTTGCGAAAATACTAATTGATACTATAAACAGGTATTTATACTTTCAAAAATCATGTGCATAGAACAGATTTTGGATAATTTTCTGAATAGTTTTGACCACAATAGTAGCCTAATATAATCCCAATATTTTGTGTTGTAAATGTCATTCTTTGAAAGCTCATCAATATGAAATCAATATACAAAAGTCAAATTTACATTATTATTTAACATAAGTTGCTTGCTTTCATTTAAGGTATAAAAATTAAAGAGAGAGTTTACAAGTGTCTTCAATATTGCACACCTGCTCCAAAAAAGCGTACATAACAACCAGTCATCTCACTGATTTAGACGATTAAACAATGATTGACACGTGTGAAGCCCCGCCTCCTTTTCATTTCACATAACATGGACAATATTACATAACAGCCTATTAGCATTTCTGACGCGTTTAGCATCTGTGTCTGTGCAGATTAGATACATTCAATGCCTCAAGTCATTCAAGGAGACTTACTCAGAGTTGTCTTTCTAAATTAAAGCGTGTTTGAGAGAGGTTTGAGTGGTCTGAAAATTTCTCTTTACACCTACTCCCTATCTCCGCCCACAGCTTTGTTTTTAAATGAGATTATTTAAAGAAAGTCAAACTCTGGTTCATAAATGTGGGAATCAAAAATGTCTTGATCAACAATAAAGACACATAAATGAAAATCTGCTGGTTGCTTCGGTGAAACGCTAGCCTGATTCGTTAGCCGGTTTCACTTCGCAGAAATCGTCTGACCTCGCAGTATTAGAATTCATAGGCGAGTACTCTTTTCATTTAACCAATCGCTACTATTTGGGCATGATGTATGTAATGCGCTGCTAACGGGGCTAACTGGTATATTAAGCTTTTCCCAAATCCCATAGGAAGAAGGGCAATAATGTCTTTCCCCTTGATGAAATTCACCAAACATTCTCTTTGTTCCAGCTTTAAATCTTTGATCTCAGAATCGTTGCCAACACATAATGTATGGCTCTTCGCTGAGTGGTTTTGCAAACCGTCTAGTGCAGGGGTGTCCAAACTTTTTTCATCAAGGGCCATATATGTAAACACAGACAAAGCAGAGGGCTGATGGAGGGCTGTAAACCGGTGCTCAATACAGTGAATAATTAAAATATGTGCATGTCTAACAAGTTAGAATGAGCCATCAGTCTTAATTCATGCTAAGATCCTTAAAACCACACACTAAATATTAAATATGAGGTTTATCACAGTAGATTTTCAAAAAAAATTGCAGTAAAATGTATATTTTTAATTGATGCAAGGTAATTTGGACCAATTCACCTGAAAGCCTGAGGGTCAAGAAAAATTAGTCTGAGGGCCGCATTTGGCCCATGGGCCATAGTTTGGACATGCCTGGTCTAGTGTATTCTGATGCCTGACCTAGTCGTTGGGAAAAAAATGAAGTTGAGCAGAGGCACTAGGTGGCACCAGTCTGGCTAGTGAAACACCACTAAGACTGCAGTTATTCTACCTTTTTTTCTATAGTAAATCTGTTTTAAACCAACATTGCCATTTAGAATAAACAAAATGTGAAAATCCAATGTCCAGAATACACTCCATTCAGTTTATTTTTGGAATCTTCAAACATTATAATGAGCACTTATTTGAGACTTACTTTTCCGGTCCAGCTGACCCCCTTCCAGATGCAGAAGTAGACCAGCACCCATGCGATCGCCAGTGTGATGGCCAGTGGCACCCTGATCTCCCCGGGCTTCTCCAGGCCATCGGTCAGCTGGTGCATGTTACGTCTGCAGGCACAGGCCAGCAGCACATTAATGCATGCTAACAGGGTTTAGCCCATATCCCGTAATAAGCAGTGTCACGCATGCATGTACAAATAGATCTATGCAATACTACCCCAAGGTTTTAGCTGTAAACAGTGGCAGTAGTCACGCACACCAATACATGCATGGACTCACTGATTTTAGCTCTATGGTAATACAAAATTGGTCAGTTGGCATTACAACTTTCAGGCAATTCAAATTGAGAGTGTGAGTGAGTGTGGGTAGGGGGGAGCCATTAATATGTAGATTCTGGGCTGTGGTTGGATAAATATAGCAGCATAATGGACCTGGTTACTGAAATAAAGAATTGAGCCCCAATTTTGACTTCTTTTTGGCTATTTCTCTGCAAAATACTGCATTACTGGTTTCAAATGACACCATAACATTTACATTTAGGCTTGAATCACAATCACAAGGCCATTTTTTGTATGTCTGATGATTTGATGGATTGTGTGTTTGCATTTGAACTTTTGGACTAATAAAAATGATTCAGTCCAGTTTGAATTTTTTGGTTTTACTTGCGAAATAAAACAACCGCTAATTGACGGGTGAATACTGGCCCCCCTTCCTAGAGAGTGACATCATTCCATTCCTGAATCCAAAGCAGCCACACTGAATACATATATGGACTCAATAGCCTATAGAGATCTTACTCCCAGAACTCCAACACTGCGCTGGTCAGATTAGTGGTGTCCGTGATGCTGTAGTTGGTGTAGCAGCGATCTGTGTTCCAGGGATTGCCACAGCTCTGCCATGGCAGCTCCTAAAAATTTAAGAAAAAAGAGGGAAAAAAAAAATCAAGATCCTTTTTAGCTAAAGCGTTCTCCCACAGCTAGGTCCCATTCTGCGTGTCTGTCGAGCGGCCAAGTCCACAATGCTCATTCGGGACATTGGGATTTCATGCTCTCTTAGTCCACTGAATGCCTCATCGCCAAATGCATTTATCAATACCTCTTGTAAGGCGCTAATTATGTGGGAAAGGAAGTAATAAATGTCTGTTATGTAACAAGTTCTGGGAAAGAAAGACGCCTGCCATATACAACAAAAGGTTACTATGTTAAAAAATACAACACAGACATTTTAAGGACACTAAGGCGGTGAGAAAGATTTCCCAGACAAGAGACGTAATATTTATGGCATACTCACAGTGGTGAAGGAGTTGTAGAGATAGTAAAGTGCCCAGGAAATGATAACAATGTAATAGATATTGAGCCAAAAGGAAAGGACAGCAGCTGCCAGACCCACACCTGAAAAATGTGGTATTTTTTTTTATAATGCAGCATTTGTGTTATTTAGCTCAAAGAAACTGAACCATGCATTACCTTTAAACACAGGGGCCAATTTCCACACACCAAGCCCTCCAATGGACGTGTACTGCCCAAGGGCCGTTTCCAGAAAGAACAAAGGCATGCCAGCAAATATGAGGGTCAAAAAGTATGGAATCAAGAAGGCCCCTAAACGAGAGATCAGAGGTACAAGCGTATAAGAGAACAATGAATATGATCCACACATATTTTAATTGGGAACAATGGATCGGGACGCTCCACAAGCGAGGCCTGTGCGTAATTACGCACGGGACAAAATTGGACTTAGGCCTATTATCCATGATCAAATTGAGAAAACCATAGCACTTCTTTAAAAATGATATAAAAAAGCCAAAAATAAATCCTGATTACCTCCTCCGTTTTTCCCACACAAATACGGAAATCTCCAGACATTTCCCAGTCCGATTGCGTATCCCACACAAGAGAGCAGAAAGTCAAATTTTCCACCCCACGTTTCCCTCTCCGGTATATCCTTTTTCGTCTTCTGCACTTTAACCACCAGCGTTTTCGGTTTGTCGTTTGGCGTGGTGCTGCTGATGTTGGTGGCGTCCGTTGCGTCGGTCACGGTCTCCGTTAAGACGTGTCCATCCGCGGCTTTGGTTCCGTTCGTCGCCATGGTCAGAGTGCGCGTGCAGCGAGTGGCCCTGACCTCGAGAGAAGAGGGGACAGCGGCTCCGTCCCGGAAACTTCAGGTCAGATGAGTGACAAGATCACCCTGGGAACGAGAGAGGAGCCGTTAGAAGAGATAGAAGGCCGTAGGTTTTGTCAGTTGTAGCTTTCATAATGTCAAATACGTCTACTGAATATTTGTGCATATCTGTTCACTAAATTAGAGTAGCAAATAATACAATTTGTGGTCTAGTAAATAATAATTAGGCAAGCTTTCTGCATTTAATTAATCAAATTAACTGGACTGTTATTAAGCAAAAAAAAAAAAAAAAAAAAAGATAATATTTCATTCATGCAGGGTGCAGTGAACCGGTGAACCCCGGACCACACAAAGCTCAATAGGAGTCACTGTGAAGCGCCTCGAGTGGAAGCTGCGGCTGGAATTCAGAGGCTGCTCTTGTCCTTGATTCATTCTGCTCTAAATTCAATGGCCCACTTCCCGCTGCCGCGCGACAAGAGCCGAGCAATTAAACACATTTAGAGTCAGACGCGACCACGACATTTCATTAATCACCCATAAGTCACTGCCTTTACAGCCTCAACCTGGCTCTAAACTAAACGACCGTTTTAGGAGTGCTTTATTTTAATTACTCTGACTGAGTTTATCAGTAAATCGTATATAATTTATGCACTTATCTTCCCACAATTTATATGCAGCTTTACGCACACGTGCGTTACGCGCCACATCGAATTATTGGGTGCGTAATGGATAAAGTCTTTCTTTATTTTAGATCTGTAGATGGATGGATGGATGAATGTAAAAAATTCTGAATACTAATTATCCCTAAACACAATAGATTATGGCTATTCTCACTTATATCCACAAAGAGTTTCTAAATTATTTTACGTGCGAAACGTGTAGTTAAAATAAAATAAACAACCAAAAAATATTTTGTAGCTTGTAGGTAGGCTATAACTCTTCTCAATAACTGAAATATGAGGTAATTATCCTAATCCATCTTGTGCGTCTCCGTAAAGCGCTGCGCACATCCGTGCGTAATGCCAAAGAATTTTCAGAATTCCTCTCCTGCTCCTCAGTGAACTCCGGTCACACACTGCCTTTCAGCCCGTGAGAAAAATGTGCGTCTTTTCAACATACTTACAGCGCTGTCCTTTTCTCTGCCAGATTTACTCCCAGTGAAATGTGTTTTAAAAAGTTAATTCCTGTGCAGATTTAGATGAAAAAAACTAAAGTTTGCACAAGCGAAAACGGTAAGATCCACAGACGGAGTGCGCGCGGAGAGCGAGGTGCTGTCCTTAAAGCGGTGGTGCTGAAAGAGAGGGGGCAGAGAAGAAGACGGGAAAGGAGCTGCCGCCGTCTGCGCTGGAGCGAGCGGGACGTAACAAGGAGCGCACGATGCTCGCGCTCATCTACATAGCGTCAATGTCACCTCAAAGTCGACCCTCCCCAACTCCAGCATCCCACCACTGAGAGGCAGCGGCTTCGGGAGAGGAGCATCATCTTGTCTGCAGGTTTTATATGCTTTCTCATGAAGATTTTTTTTACATCAGCAACTTCTGCCGTCCCTCCCTCTCTCCCTCTCTTCATTTTGAGCTCCTTCAATGACGCCTATTATGGACCAGTGCGGGTCACTTTCAATGGGGCTCAATGACTTGGACAACTTCCTTTAAGTGCGCTCCTTTTGTTCCACACCTGGTCCTCGTGTAACTCAGTTACTCTCCAAAAGCCATGACTAATTAATGTAGAGAGCTCTTGTGGATCTGAACCACAGGCCCCGAATATCATGATGCTGCTGGATTCACTTTCTGTGGATAAAGCTGTTTATGCATTAATATCTGTTTTTTAAATGAATGCACTGCATAACATTTGACAATAATAATGACTCCCTGCTTATTTGTATATTTATTAGCACATACAGTCCCATGCCTCCATCAGAGACACAGGCACATGTCCTGTCTGCTCAGCTCCTGTACAAACATGATAAGAGTGTCCCAGCCAATCAAACGGGCCGTCAGGCTAGTGAGAGATAAATTGAAAAGTGTGCTTTATAATCTGCTTAGCTTCTCCATCTCCCGAAAACCAAATACTCTTGTGAACATCCCAAATGAGGCGTCTTAGCACACATACCCTGCTCCATCCTCCATAGATCATTTCAAGAGCCTCAGAGGAGAGTCACTGTGTCAGGAGAAGTTTTGGAGTTAGAGAAGTGCGGATTAGAGCGTGTTTAACACGCTGTATACTGAATGTGAGGATGTGGCTACACGCATTTCACTGTAAACAATAAAGAGCAATTCCCAAAATGGGGGTCAGGGATAAACATTTGACACTGTATTTATTCAATTTTAAAAATTTATTTGTAATTTGGTGAAATCGGGTCCAATAACATAATAAACTATCCACATAAACAGCATTAACCCAGATGCACATTTTAACACCTGTAGTTATTACAGTTGTCAGTATCAGTGTGTGGTGGTGGGGGTTGAGAGGGGGTTGCATGGTTAATTTGGGGGGTGCTGGCCTGAAAAGCTTGGGAACATACAGACTATGTGAACATCTTTACCCATTTATTTGTCTGTGGTTGGCTGGAAAGGGAGTTGGCAGCAGCCTTTCCCTTTTGACCCAATTCTTTAGTGGATTTTAGGTAAAAGGTAAAAAATAATAATAATAATAATAAAATAAAATACATTGAAGACTGTAGTATATATATATATTTGTGTGTAAAATCTATGTATTTCAAAGGAACAATAAATGGACCTTTTTTTTCTAGATGTATATGTCTGGTGAGACATTTCTCATCACTTTTGACATTTTCACTGATGCAATACACCATCTCGTGCTCTAAGTGATTCAACATCATTTTGCATTTTCTGTCCATTATCGTTCAAAGCCTATATTTCTCCACCTCCCACTGTGCCCATCCACTTGAATCACTCCATCTTTACGTCCTTCCTCCATAGGCCCTGATCATTTCCAGAGAACAAAAACACAGCAGCGAATCAGAGGGGGACAGGCTCCTGCCCAGATGGAGAACCAATGAGGGGTGAGCTAACCTTCTAATGATACTAACCAAAACGTAGCATTTCAGAGCCCAGCAGGCTGATTGGCCTGCGGGCCGTGCCATCATCTCACTGTGACAAGAGAGAGAGAGGAAGGGAGGGAGGGAGAGACTGAGGGAGGAAGGAAGAGAGAGAGATAAGGGGGAGAAAGAGAAAGGAGGGGCTGAAAAAAAATACAAAGACGGGTTGGGGTGGAGACAGAGGAGACACTGAAAGGTGTAAAAGCAGTAAAGAGAGAGAGAGTCAAGATAAGGGGTGGTGTGGGTGAGTGAGAGAGAGAGAAGGGGGCTGGAGAGAAGATAGATACAATGAGGTATGGATAAGAGAGAGGGAGAGGGTGAGGATAAATAAAGGGGCGTATGGGTTTGAGAGAGAGAGAGAGAAGCCAAAGGGAGAGAGGATAGAGTGGAGAGAAAAATCGAATTGGAGTGAGTTTTGGGTTAAGAATCCAGACAGAGTGGAGAGAAAGGGGGAGAGAGAGAGAGACAGAAAGAGGGGAGAGAGAGAGGGGTGAGAGAGAAAGAAACAGAGAGAATAGAGAGAGGGTGAGAGGCGATGGTGGTAGGACGCCCGTACCTGATGGTGTGGCTGTGTTCACTCAGGCTTGTAATTACAGCGGGAGGAGGCTGTACAAGAGCAGACAGCTGACCCCCTCCCTCTCTCTGTCCCCCCCATCCAGCGCTCCGTTAGATCTGCGCTCCAGTGAGGAAGACAAAATGGTGACACAAGTACAACTGTCTACAACACGGAGACTACATGAAAAACACTGCTTATTTGTCAAAGTGGGAGTCAGGAACTCTTTACTTTAAATGAATTGTTTCCGGGGAACATGTATAGTGGACAGAATTGTAAGTCCCTGCTTCTGTCAGTTATAAGTAGAAGAGTTACTGGCCTGGTTTCCCTGTAGCTGGAAAATGTACACAAAATATCCACACAATAGGTCTCCAGGTAAGGTAGCCTGGACCAGTCCGAAGTCAAGATCTGTACATGGGTAAATAAATAAATGAAGGTCAAATACAAGGAATTAATTATACAGACATAAACTGAAACTATTTGTATTTACTTTAGAACCCAGGCTATTTTCCTAAAGCAGGGGTCAATGAACTTTTTCCTTTGATGAGCTACTTTTTTAAAACAAAAATGCCAGAGAGCTACTACTTTCACAATTAGATGCTTATAAAACATAAACTTTTATCCATTTATTAGTGCAAAAAGTTAAGTATCAGAGTTATACATGTACATAGCCCGGTTTCTTATATTCATTTTTAACCTTAGTGGGATTTTTGGGGGGATTTGCTAAACTATATATTTTTGGAAAAGTTATGATATATGGAGTCAGAAAATCAATGTTTGAATTTGCCCAGATGTCTATATGGCAGCCATACTGAAGTTAAAAAAATGACCACTGTAAATGTAAAAAATGTAGTATCTGGACTTCTGAATAAACTGAAATGTTGATTTTTACTGCTAAACCCACATTGTAGGGGTCAAGGAATCCAATGGTGCTAGTTACACATTACCATATTAAGCCTTCAATACATGAGTAGATAATAATAACCCAGATAATAGTAACCCAGTGTGGTTGTTCTCTTGCAATATGTTTGTAATGAAAAGTTCATTTCATGCTCCAGCTGTTCTTTAAAAATAAAACATGTTTTTTGAAGGAACATGGAGCATTACATGTGAATCTTACAATGAAATTGCAAGAAAACAATTAAACCAGGTAATTTTTTACCCACTTCTGCGTTTATGGGTTAATGTGGGTAAGTCTTACAGCTTTGTAACTAGCACCATTTGATTCCCTGATCCTGAAAATGTGGGTTTAGCGGTTAAAATCAACATTTCAACTTATTCAGAGGCTGGGATATTTCAAAAAGAGTTTTTTGGCGGCCAGTTTAAAAAATGGATGCCAAAAAAATCTTTTTAGAC